ATCCATCAAATCACCTGCTTCTGGGTAATGAGGCCCCCCGTTGCACTTTATTGGCCTTAAAATTATTTTCTCGTTCCATGTGTGGGACCTGGAGGGGTTGTGCATTTACCTGGCAGGTAACAAAAATAAGGGGTTCTCTGAAGATAGCCATAGATGCTTTCTGATGTTTCTAACACACGTCATGCCAGGACTCATTGACCTCCTCCTTTTTTGTTTGGTCTTTTGAGTTGGTCAGAGGCAGCCTGTCTGCCACACAGTCTTCATACTAACCTTTCTCACCGAGGTGACTGAGTGCCTCTTAATCTCCCAGCGCGTTGCCCTCCACCTGCACTCTCTGTTATTTCGCCATTGGTAATAATTTGAGTAACCATAACACAATAAAAATAAGTGGGAGGCTTAAATATGAGACACGTATAAAATAAGAAAATAGTAGTGTGCTGGAGATGTGCACATTGAGGAAAGGGTTCTAATGTCCTGTCTTATGTTGTAGAGGCTTTAAAGTTCACTATCTTTAGATTTTTTTAACCGTGTATTTTATAATTTTTAAAGAATAACTAATAAAATTAGCAATAGAGTGTAAAACTTCTAAGCTAGTGGAAAATAAATGGATTAAGAAGAATAAAAATTACTCCGGCAGTCCAAACATAGGCCAGAAAGAAGAAAAAAAGGAACCAATGAAAAGGCAAAACGAGGAAAAACAATACAAAACCAAAAAAGGCAGAACACGAAAAGGTACAAAAACGGTAGACTCAAAACTAAATGTATTAGTCATTGCATTAAATGTAATGTAAGGTTTCAGTTAAAATCGGTTTGCTAAACTGGCCCAAAAAGATACCCGACTTTATGCTATTTACAAGCACATCTAAAACATAACAGTACAAGAATATCAGAGGAAAAAAGGTGAAAATGGGTATATGACGCAGCAAATACTAACCAATAGAAACCTGGGAAGATATATTAACATCAGCTAAAGTAAACTTTATCTAGGGAAAGTGTTTAGGCAAAATACTTACCAGTAATGAAGGTGATATCACAATGATAATGGTTTCATCAGAATATTTTAAAAACCTAATTAGTATACACTAAATAATGCAACCTCAAAATATATAAATCCAAAGTTGTCAGAACTACAGAACAAGTACAAATTCATAATGATAGTGGGAGTTTTTTTTTTTTTGAGACAGAGTTTCGCTCTTGTTACCCAGGCTGGAGTGCAATGGCACGATCTCGGCTCACCGCAACCTCCGCCTCCTGGGATCAGGCAATTCTCCTGCCTCAGCCTCCTGAGTAGCTGGGATTACAGGCACGCACCACCATGCCCAGCTAATTTTTTTTTTTTTGTATTTTTTTAGTAGAGACGGGGTTTCACCATGTTGACCGAGATGGTCTGGATTTCTTGACCTCGTGATCCACCCACCTCGGCCTCCCAAAGTGCTGGGATTACAGGCTTGAGCCACCGCGCCCGGCCGAGATTTTTAACATATATCTTTCATTAATGAGTAAATTAGATGAAAAAAGTCGGTGAGGATATAGAAGATCTACACAACATCATTAACAAATTGACTTCAGAAGAAGACAAAACACTACACTCAAAACAGCAACAATACATTCATTATTAAAGCACACACAGAATGTTTATAAAACTTGATCAGAGACTGAGCCATTAAAAATCTCAACACAGCTTAAGAGATTCATATCACAAAAATTATATTTTCTAATCACTGCTGTCAAGATGGAGATTGAAAGAAAAATATTATCGAACTCTTGAAAGCTTGAAAATTAAGAAGTAATCCATGGGTCAGCAGTCAGCTTGGAAATTAGAAAATATTTAGAGAGATATTTGGATATTTGACCCCTCCAAATCTTAAGTTAAAATTTTAGTGCTGGCTCAATCCCAGCCCTTTGAGAGGCCGAGGCGGGTGGATCACGAGGTCAAGAAATCGAGACCATCTCGGTCAACATGGTGAAACCCCGTCTCTACTAAAAATACAAAAAAATTTTAGCTGGGCATGGTGGCACGTGCCTGTAGTCCCAGCTACTCGGGAGGCTGAGGCAGAAGAATTGCCTGAACCCAGGAGGCGGAGGTTGCGGTGAGCCGAGATCGTGCCATTGCACTCCAGCCTGGGTAATAAGAGCGAAACTCCGTCTCAAAAAAAAAAAAAATTTTTTTATCCACATTGGAGATGGACCCTAATGCCGATGTTTGGGTTATGGGAGTGGATCCCTCATGAATGGCTTGGTGCTGTCCTCATGGTAATAAGTGAGTTCTTGCTCGATTAGTTCTTACAAGAGCTGCTGTTAAAAAAGAACCTGGCACCTCCCCTGTCTCTATCTCTTGCTTCCTCTCTCCTCATGTAATCTCTGCACATGGTGGCTCCCCGTTACCACCTTCCGGGAGTAGAAGCTGCCTGACGCCTCACCAGAAACAGACGCTGGTTTCGTGTTTCTTACACAAGCCTGCAGCACTGTGAGCCAAAAAACGTCTTTTCTGTATAAATTATCCAGCATCAGGTATTGCTTTTTTAGCAAGACTAAATGGACTAAGATAGATATGAATAGCTTAAAATCATATTACTGGAATTGAAATAAGATTATCGGGATTCAGTCTTTCTTCTCAAGAAATTTTAAAAAAATCAGGAAAATAGACATAAGAAAACAGTAAAATAAGTAGAAAATAATACATGTTTTGAAATGCATGCAATAGAATCAACAAAGCCCTTTCACTTTCACATGGTGGCAGAGGAAGAAAGGATTCTACTGCTATTCAAACTCTTGCTTATCGACTGTGGCTAATTATAAAATTCATACTCAAACTCAACAATACGAAAAAATGAAAGTATGGGCAAATCTGAATTAGGCATATAGCGGCACAAATATTTAGCCAAAGTTGCAAATTAAATAGAACTAGACATACAAATGATAATGTATCATAGGCAATGTGTGTTTATGTCAGCAATGCAAGGGCAGTTCAACATTAGAAACTCATTTAGTGTATTTATCACAAGCACAAATACAAGAAAAAACATTGTATGACTATCCCAGTGAAGGGAGAAATGAGTCTGATGAAATTCCATCTGCCTCCAAAACAATTCTCATCAACTGAGGAATATACAAATCCAATTAGAAGAAAAAATCAGGCAATCCAATGGCAAAATTGAGCAATGACTTCAAAAGTGATTTTACAAGAAGAACATCCAATGAACTCCAATTGTATAAGAATTGACCTCTTTAGAGGTAGAAACCAATCAATATCATAGTGGATACCATTACAGGTTCATCAGATTGCTAAAAATGGAAAGTACTAAGAGTTGGCAAGGATGTGGGGTAACAGTAACTCTCGTATTTACACTTTTGGGATTGTAAGTTCATGCAATTATTTTGGAAAATCATTTAGCTTTATCTACTGAAGTAGGACATATATATACACACGCTCACAGACCATCCCTGACTGTGATGGTTCAACTTAGAGTTTTTCATCTTTATGACACTGCAAAAGCCATACACATTTAGAACTCAGTATACTGAGTACACACTCAATATAATCCAATCATACATGGAAAATATTGTTAAGTAAAACATTACTTTTGACTTATGATATTTTCAATTTATGGCAGATTTATCCAGATGAAACTCCACCATGAGTGAAGGAGCATCTGTACACAGACATACACGCATACATACAGAAATTCCACTAAGATGCATACTCTAAAGACAGGGTTCTAGGAGATCCCAAGATTCTTTCAGGGGGCATCTTCCAGGTCAAAACGATTTGAGTAATAATACAAAGATGTTATTTGCGTTTTTCCCTGTGCTGACATGACGTGGCTGCTGCAAAAGCAATGGCACATAGAAAGGCTGTGGCCTGAGCAGGAAGCACGGTAATGGCATTAAATTGTGCTAGAAGTTGTATTCTTGATCACTTCACACTCACAGTTAAGAACAGTTCCAGCTTATTTAAGATTGCACTTGATGAAAAAGTAAAAGCTATTAATTGTGTTAAATCTCAACCACTGAATATACTTTTAAAAAACTTTTAAGTTTGGGGTACATGTGCAGGTTTGTTGTATAGGTAAGCCTGTGTCCTGGGGGTTTGTTGTACGATCACTTCATCACCCAGGTATTAAGCCTAGTGTTCATTAGTTGTTTTTCCTGATCCTCTCCCTCCTCCCACCCTCCACCCTCCAATAGGCTCCAGTGTGTGTTGTTCCCCTCTATGTGTTCTCATCATTTAGCTCCCACTTTTAAGGCAGGTGATTCAATGAAGTGTGGTATATTCACATAGTGGAATACTATTCAGCAATGAAAAAGGTGAAAATGAAATACAGCTACCTGAGTACATGGAATACTCTCATCAATGTGACATTATAAAAATTTGCAAAATCATGCCAGGTGCAGTGGCTCACGCCTGTAATCCCAGCACTTTGGGAGGCCAAGGCAGGTGGATCACGAGGTCAAGAGATCGAGACCATCCTGGTCAAGAGATCGAGACCATCCTGGTCAACATGGTGAAACGCTGTCTCTACTAAAAATACAAAAATTAGCTGGGCACGGTGGCACGTGCCTGTCATCCCAGCTACTCAGGAGGCTGAGGCAGGAGAATTGCCTGAACCCGGGAGGCAGAGGTTGCGGTGAGCCGAGATCGTGCCATTGCACTCCAGCCTGAGTAACGAGCGAAACTCCGTCTCAAAAAAAAAAAAAAAAAAAACTGCAATATCAAATGAACACAGAATCTTGTTCCATACATGTAAATATGTAATCTTAAAAACAGATAAAGGAAAACTATATAAAGAATAGCAATAAAAAGAAAAGTGAGGGAAAAATTTTTAAAAAGTTAGAACGCTGCTGACTTTGGAGGGAGGCATGGATTGTTACTGGGGAAGCCACGTGCAGGGGATTCTGAAATGTTGTGTATGTTTCATTTTTTGACCTATATGACTACTTTAAGATGAATCTTAACATCTACTTCTGAAACTATTCAGAAACTCGCTTTCTTTCTTCCTGTTCAGATGAGTAATGTGCCCATGTTGTAACAAGGAATGAGGGAGGCACATCTTACACATGAGCCTGAAAACCCAGTTCTCACGCTTACCAACAAAAGGATCTAGAAAGTAGCTTCTCAAGCAGTAAACGAATATTCAGCATGTGGTATTGTTTTAATTACATTGCATCATCAACTTTGACCAAAGCTTCTCAAAGAGGAAGTAATCTTTTCTTTGTGTTAGTTTCTATTAGTGAGGAAGGAAGCTTAATAACTTGGCAATATCACTAACACAGGACCTTTTGCTGGCAAAGTGAACATCTATTTAGTACCAGAACTATGCAGTAAGGTGAGAGGAGAAAAAAGCAACAGCTAAAAGCACCAAGAAATCATTGTTCTCATACTCTAATGTAAAATGTTAAAATCTGACTCCTGCATGTTTTTAACTGTTTATGCTGAGCTAATTTTAGTGTTGCGAAAAGTTGTGAGAACAGTACAGAGAATTCTTGCAAACCCTTCCCTAAACTCTCCTAATGTTACTCTCTTATATAACCACGGAATAATGTTCAAAGCCAGGAAATTAATATTGGTGCCATACTGCTAATTTCACCATACATTTTAAAAATAGTGATATATTCAGAATTCTTTTGTATAATTCATGGTCATTTGGATTTTCTTTTTGTGAAGTTTACTGCTATGAATGTGTGTGTCTCTCTCTACTCCTGTGTTGAGATGGAATCACCAGTGTGATGATATTCTGAGATAAGGCCTTTGGGAGGTGATGAGGTAGTGAGAGTGGGGCCCTCATGAGTGGGATTGGTGCCCTAATGAAAAAGGCCCCAGAGTTCCCCTTCAGCATGTGAGGACACAGCCAAAAGCCCTCATTTCTACAAAGCAGGAAGTGGGCCCTGACCAGACACCTAATCTGCCAGTGCCTTGATCTTGGACTTCCCACCCTCCAGAATTGTGAGAAATGAATCTCTCGAAGTGGTATTTTGTTTATTTGTGCTACTTTCTTGCCTGAATTGACTAAGATATCAACTCAGATCATTGGTGAATTTTTCTACTGAGTTGTCTAATTTTCTCCTAATTACATTTATAGTTCCCTTATAGTCTTTATTCAATGAGAATTATTTTCAAAATATCATTTATTTTAAATAACAATGATAAAGCCATATATATCTATTTTGAGACAGTCTCACCCTGTCGCCTAGGGTGGAGGACAGTGGCAAGATCTTGGCTCATTGCAAGCCCCACCTCCTGGGCTCGAGTGATTTTCCTAGCTCAGCCTCCCTAGTAGCTGGGACATCAGGTGTGTGCCATCATACCTGGCTACTTTTTTTTTTTTTTTACTTTTTATGGAGATGGGGTTTCACCCTGTTGCCCAGGTCAGTCTTCAACTCCCGAGCTCAAGCAATTTGCCCACCTCAGCCTCCCAAAGTGCTGGAATTACAGGCATGAACCACCACACCTGGCCCCGTGCATGCTATATGTTAATTGTTAACACAATTAATATATTTCATGAAAAATACCTACATTTTCAAAAACAAAAATCAACATTAAGACTGACGTTATTTTACATTTTTTGCAAATCCCTTTCATGTCTGGCTTAAGGGAAATTGATTTTGCCTAACTGCTTCTTTGTTCAATTTGTGTGATTTTTTTTTTTTTTTTTTTTTTTTTTTGAGACGGAGTCTTACTCTGTCACCAGGCTGGAGTGCAGTGTCGCAATCTCGGCTCACTGCAACCTCCACCTGGGTTCAAGCGATTCTTCCGCCTCAGCCTCCTGAGTAGCTGGGACCACAGGCGCGTGCCACCACGCCCAGCTAATTTTTGTATTTTTAGTAGAGACAGGGTTTCACCATGGCCAGGATGGTCTCGATCTCTTGACCTCATGATCCCGCCCGCCTCGGCCTCCCAAAGTGCTGGGATTACAGGCGTGAGCCACCAGACCCGGCCAATGTGTGTGATTTTTAAACCTTTGTCCTGTACTCAGTGGTATTGGCAAAGCAGAGCTACTCAGCCATTGTCAGATCTGGGCATTAACTTTATTTCCAGTTTTGCCTCCATGAATAACGCAACAAGCTCCTGGTAGATTTACCTTCAGTACTTCTGCTTTTGTTTCAGTGCGGATTCTAGGAGGGGGATTTTGAGGTAAAGGGAATGTGTGTGAGTAGAGCTAATGGATGATGCCAGGTTGCTTCTGCATGTAAGGGTGCCCCTTTCCTCGCACTCATGCCAGTGTGAAGGTGGTCACATTTCCTCACATCCATGCCAGCTTAAGGGTGTTTCAGTTTTTCCAGTTCATAGGTGTAAGGTGACATTTTATTTTGACTCAGATAAGAACTTTTCAAACTGCTGGTTAATTTGAGCAGCGGTTTCATGTTTAGCTTTTTGGATTTGCTTTTCTGTGAATTCTCAATCACATTATTTGCTCATTTTCTGTTGGAATGTTTGTCTTTTTGAAAAAGTTCCATTTGTAAGACTTCTTGCTGCAATACGGAACTTGACTTTTATCTGCCACAAGTATTGAAGAATTTACCATCCCTGACACCTCGGTGCACTGATTTGTTTTTGGTCTATTTTACCATACAGGAGGTTTTTATATCCATATAGTCGTTTATGACCACTGTTTTTCTCCACAGCTTTTGCGTTTCTTGTCTTGGCTGAGAAAGTTATCATCACAGCTACATTGTCTGTTTTCCTTTTCTCTCTCTTTCCTTCCTTCCTTCCTTCCTTCCTTCCTTCCTTCCTTCCTTCCTTCCTTCCTTCCTTCCTTCCTTCTTTCTTTTGTTCCCTCTCTCCCCCCTCCCTTCCTCCTTCCCTCCCTCCTTCCCTCTTTCTGTTTCTTTCTTTCTCCTTCCTTCCTTCCTTGCTTCCTCCCTCCCTCCCTCCCTCCCTTCCTTGCCTTAATTCTTTTTCCCAGTTAATTTTCAATTCCCCAGATATATAATCATGCTAATTGCAGATAATTAAGATATATCCTTTCCAGCGTTGATACCGTTTTTATGGTTCTTTTTTGTAATTGCACTTGGCTAGCACTCTCGGAGCATTGTTTGCAGTGCGCAGCTGAATTACATTTCTCTATTAGAGCTCCATCATTGTATGAGTCATCATAGGAGGTTCTCCTTCCCACCACGAAGGACCTAAAAGCTAGATACACACTTTCCCGGAAACCTAGTGGCTGGTATGCAGGTATCTGACTCAACTGTCACTGAGACTTTATAAAGACATAAAGAAGGGTTCAGTGCTCATTTTGATGCCACTGAACTAGGCTGTCCCTAGGGAAACTTGGACATGGTTCTTCTTTCATTGATTCCTTGGGTTCTGACCCACTTTCTAGACTCGGTACTTCGGTCTTTTCATCCAGTCTGTCAGCTGTCCAAGGTCCTATGAATGAATTCCTTTTTGTTGCTTAAGTTAACCCAAATTGGTTTCCTTTGCAACCAGGAACCGCACTGTTAGAATGTTAAATGATCATGGTGATAGTTGGGTGCCATTGTCTCCATCCTGACATTGTTGGAAGTGGTCTCTCATTTGCATTCGTGTGTTAGTTCACTCATGAAACATTGAAATCCATGAATTCACTCCTTTGCCTCCAGTTGCAATCCAGTACGACGTGGGTCTTTGTAGTTTTCTGCCTTTTCATATGTGTAAATCCCTTCTCTGATGGGAAACATCCCATTTCCCATTAATCATAATATATTTACTCATTTGTTCAATCAATGCCCTGAGTGTACAAGTCCCTCATCTCAGCCACTGCTCCTCTCCAGCATGACTGGCTCCTCATCCTGCTTGGTCCTGCTTCCCACTGCTGGATGCCCTCTGGCAAAGATCTCCACTCACCCTATTCAGGCTCTTACACCTACGAGGGCCCATCCCTGTGTGCAAAAGTGCCCTCCTTCTTCGGGTTCTGACACTCCCCTCTGACATCCCTGGGTAGACGCCCTCCTCACTGTGCTTGGAGCTCCCCATTTCACATCACCTCTGCACAGCTCTCTGTCTTCTCTGCCATACCTGTTGGCTTCAGGGCTCTACTGATCAGAAAAGGAAAAGAAATTGTGAGGAAGACAAAGGAAGAGGAGGACAAAGAAGAAGAGGAGGAGGAGGATGAATTGAAGAAAGAGGAGAAGGAGAAGAAGGACAAGAAGAAGAAAGGGGAGGAGGAGAGTGGAGGAGGAGAAGAAGGAAAGAAGAACGTGGCCGGACACGGTGGCTCGTGCCTGTAATCCCAGCACTTTGAGAGGTTACAGTGGGTGGATCATGAAGTCAGGAGTTCAAGACTAGCCTGGCCAACATGGTGAAACCCTGTCTCTACTAAAAATACAAAATTAGCTTGGCGTGGTGACGCATGCCTGTAGTCCCAGCTACTCAGGAGGCTGAGACAGGAGAATTGCTTGAACCCGGGAGGCAGAGGTTGCAGTGAGCCGAGATCGTGTCACTGCATTCCAGCCTGGGCAACAGAACAAGATTCCATTTCAAAAAAAAAAAAGAAGAAGAAAGAAAAAAGAGAAAAGAAAAGAAGAACGAGGAGGCAGAAGAGGAGAAGAAGAGGAGGAGGAAGAGAAGTAGTTTTGAATATATATATATATATATATTTGGATTATATATATATATATATTTGGATTATATATATAAATATACGTGTGTGTATATATATATTTTTTGAGATGGAGTCTCACCATGTTGTTTAGGCTGGTCTCAAACTGCTGGCCTCAAGTGATCCACCTACTTTGGCTTCCCCAAATGCTGGTATTACAGGCATAAGCCACTGTGCCCATCCTCTGGATATATTCTGAATGTAGAACTGAGAGGATTTCTGACTGGATGTGGGGTGTAAGAGAAAGAAGGGTGATAAGGAAGACTCCAAGATCCTTGGCCTGAGCAGCTAGAAAATGGAGTTAACATTTACAAGATGAGGAAGAACGTGGGAAGAGCAGGCTTGGAGTGGGCGTCTAGAATAAGGTTTGGCCATGATAACTTCGAGACACAGAGGACATACCCAAACAGGCAATTAAATGTAGGCATCTGGAGCTCCAAACTGAAGACTAGCATGAGGATGTGTATTTGGTACTTATCAGTATTTGGTAGTATTTAGAGCCTTTGGACTGGATGAGATTGCT